ATACTGCTGAACTATTTCTCCTAACCAAATCCAACACCAACTTCATGTTTACAAGTAGAAACAAAAGCAATCAGACGAAAAACAAAATAACTAAACCTAAAGCAGAAAACGCACTAGGCATAATTACATCATCCACTGCAAAAGTGCAAACTTGTCTGAATCTTGCAAAATTGATTAGCAACTTGTTTGAAACAGATTTTCACATTTTAACAATATTCATCTTAGCTGCTTTTTTCTCCAATTTCCTACGGCAGTATACTAGAGCCAAAGCCTTCTTACCCTCATCACCCTTTTCTTTCCATTTAATAAACTACCAACTCACGAAAGTTGGCCATATTCGGCTGTATCCAAAACCAAACCTCTCCAGCAGTTAACACACATGCCAACTCCTCCAAGTCCCTGATGTGAGATAACACCTTGATTAACTTCAAAAAGTCCTTGTAACTTGTAAGTGAAACCATTATTATTATTCAGGTTTTCAATGGTAAACAGATCCTCACTGAAACCAACCTGCAAAAGCCCAGCGCATGCTTCTTGATCACAGCTTGTTGTCTCTCCAACGGCTCACAATGGTACATTGGTATGCCATTAAGAAGTGAAACCTGCGAAACAAAGAGAGAAAACACAAATAATTATATTGTGGTGATGAGACTGGCTGAAACTATATATATATATATATATATATATAAGGAATGCTAATATACTCTCACCTAGGCCTGAGCATCGGTCGGCCACGGTCGGTTTCGGACCAAAATTCCTAAAATCATCCGAAACCGATTAAGAAAAATCAGGGGCCATTTCCGACCGACGAAGAACTCAGATTTTGGCGGGTTCAATCCGTGCGGGTTACGGGTTCATCGGATGAATTTATCGGTTTGAGAAGCTTCCTCGTCGCCATCCGTCGCCATTCTTTGCCGGTCTCTGTCGCTGCTTCATTTGGGGGAAATCACGGAGTTTCAGATCTCCGCATCACCACCTTCATCAACCAGAACAGGAAGTTTCTCAGCAGCGGTAGCCATGGAAGAAGAAGAAAGAAGCAGAAGAAAGAAGACGAAGTGAAGAAGAAGAATAAAGAAGACAGTGTGAAGAAGAAGAAGAAAGAAGCAGAAGAAAGAAGATGGAGTGAAAAAGAAGAAGAAAGAAGACGGAACGAAGAAGAAGAAGAAAGAAGACGAAGTAAAAATGGAGAAAATAAACGGTGAAGACGAAGGTGAAGAAGAAGAAGATAAACGGTCGGATTCGGGTACATCGGATGAGAAAATTCCAACACCGAATCCGACCGTTCAAAACCGTTTGAACCCGAAATTTGCTTCAAAAAAAATCCGATATACCTAAGAATCAATCCGCCTCACCCAATCTGATCATCGGTTTGGCCGGTTTCGGATCGGCCGGAAATTTTTGCACAGGCCTACTCTCACCTATTTTTTAGTTAGAGTATGTTAGCAACCTACACCAAAATTTTAGGACAAGAAAATCACTTATTTTTTTTATTTGGTTATTAATTTGTATAAAGGATATTATAGTTATTTCTCACTCCTATTAAATTCCTTCTTCAACTCATTTTTCTTTCTTATTAAATATCTTCTCTAACTTATTTATTTTTCTCCTATTAAATTCCTTCTCTAACTCATTTATCTCTCTCCTATTAAATTCTTTTTTTAACTCATTTCTCTCTCATCTCTTATGATGTCTCTCCTCTTTCTCTGAACAAATAAAAAATTAATTAATAAAAAAAATGAATTGGAGAACGAAGTTAATAAGAGAGAAAAAATATTTTTTTTTTTTTTAAAATTAAATTAAATTACTATAATGTCCTTTATACAAATTAACCAAATCAAAAGAAATGAATGATTTTCTTGTCCTAAAATTTTGGTGTAGGTTGTTAACATACTCCAAGTAAAAAATAAGTAAGAATATATTAGCATTTATATATATATATATATATAGAGAGAGAGAGAGGCTGGGAAAGACGAATTATATTTTCTAACTATTCCATTTCTGGTTTCAATGCATAGTAAATTGTAATATTGTTGGAATTCTAATTTTATCTATTGAAAATTTCACATTCTTCTTTCGAGATTTCGAAATTCTAACCGACAACAACTATACATTTTAATCCAAGTCCAAAAGAAGTTAGGCTAAATTAAACACATTGTTATTATCCTTGTATAATGATATTCGTTTATCTGCATTACCTCGGTAATTTATTTCACACTTTTTTTTATCCCATATCTCTATTGGTTATAGAGAAGATTGTAAAGGACAAAAATAACAATATAATTTCTCTAATTGTAAAGCTTAATCAGTACATTTTTTTTATATATATATTTTCATATAGTTTTTCTATGAAGCTCAATTTTTTTTTTACTATTACATATGCCACTATTTTTTTTTTCTCTTTTTCATATATTTTTTTCCTTACATTTTTCCTATTAGCTAGTTCCGACTGTTTTCAAAGTGTAGTGTGTAGATACATCTGCACAGCAGCAGGCTAATATTAGAATGAAGGCGCAGGTCTGTTTACATCTGAATATCTGATGCAGTCTAATGCACTGACATTTGAACTGTGTGCAAAAAATAGTGTCTTCTGAAAATGAGTATTATATATCTTCATAGGAAATTAAAAAAAAAAAAAAAAAAAAGGTGATGAGGACTTCAAAATTGCTAATATTATTGGTTTTGGTTGCTGAAAGAATTGCCCTAAGTGAAGTGTGACAGTTGACTACCATGATCAATTATTAGGACACTAATTTGTGTTGTGATGTCTTTTATTATTACTTGTGATCTATGTAAAAAGGTTGTTTAGATCTCAAAGTTTTTGTTACTGTTGTGTTGAGTCTTCAACTATTTTCTAGAAAAGAACTACATAGAGAACCTGTATTTAACTAACTTTAATGTAGTTTTATTTGTCAGATTTGCTTAGACTCAAACGCAATATTTATAAAAAAGATTATGATTTGCTAACACTATAAATAAAGTTATGTATATAGTTTATTGTATCATTAAATAAGATGTAAAATTTATAAATTATTTTATTTTTTAATAAATTTTAACTAATTAAAAAAGTCGTGTTTAAAAGAGTGTTAGAGAATATAGTATTTTTCTTATTTTGGTTAAAATGTTTAGGCGTCTTTCGTTGCCCTCTTGTTGAGTAGTAGTAACTTAAATTTCTTTTCACAGGATCAACACATCAGGGGCATGTTTAGTTTCTCCACAAATGGGTTCACACTTTTGTAGTGTACCTAGCTAAGTTGGAAGGTTCGATTATGATTTATTTTACCGAATCTATTATATTTACGAAGTTGGGTATATATATTTGGACAAAACTTAGGTGCAAATATACCAGTAATGATGTTGGGTTACAATATTTTCCATCATATCACTACTAGATTTTAATCCTTTAGTAACATTTTCTTGTTTACATTTATTAAAATGTTACTATATATTAAATAAATATGTTATTTTGTAATACTTTTTTGAAAAATATCATTATAAGTAGAGTAACATTTTTTATTTCAATATTATTCTTTCTAATTGTTTTCAAAATTAAAGTCCCATATCGAGTAAAAAAAATTTACATAAGTTATTTTGCAACATTTTTTTGAAAAATATTACTATAATTGCTTCTAAAGTCAAAGTCCCACATCGAGTAAAAAAAAAGTATATTTCTCTTATATATAATTGTAACTCATAATTAAAGTCTCACATCGAATAAATTAATGACATATAAAGAGTATATATACTCATATAGTTATACTTAAGATAAATAAAATTTGATATTCTATATATAATTAGTGGTGACTAACTAAAAATGTTTTTTCCTAAAAAGTTAAGGAACTCTTAGAAATTTAGTTTATGAGACATAAAAATATAATAATTGATAATAATATTTAAATTAAAATTAATTATTATTTTATAAAGTTATCAAAATCTTGGCAACATCATTAAAATGTTACAAAAAATTATTAAAA